TTTATTTTTAATATATACATATGAATATTTATTGTTTGTTGACTCTTACATAAGATGTACATAAAACTACTTTTATTACTTCAATTTATTGTTATTTTTTTAAAACAGCAATTTAAGTCAATTGTTTATTGTAAGAATACCTGTTTTTTAAATAGGGGTTGGCAAATCTTGTCTACTCCTTCAGTTCACGGACAAAAGATTCCAACCTGTTCATGACTTAACAATAGGTGTTGAGTTTGGTGCTCGTATGATTATAATTGATGGAAAGCCAATCAAACTCCAAATTTGGGACACAGTAATTATTTACATTTTCAATACATTTATATATTTTACCAAGCATTAATTATTGTATTAAATGAGTTTATTAATTTTTATAATAACAATTTTTGAGGAACAACAGTTGTTAATGTAATTGTACTGAACTTATAGGCAGGGCAAGAAGCATTTCGTTCCATTACACGATCATATTATCGAGGAGCAGCAGGAGCTTTATTAGTATATGATATCACACGTAGAGAAACATTCAATCATTTAACAACTTGGTTAGAAGATGCAAGACAACATTCAAATTCCAATATGGTGATCATGTTAATTGGTAATAAAAGTGATTTAGATAATAGAAGGGAAGTAAGAAGAGAAGAAGGTGAAGCTTTTGCAAAGGAACATGGACTTGTTTTTATGGAAACCAGTGCAAAGACAGCAATCAATGTAGAGGAAGCATTTATCAATACAGCAAAAGTAATTTATGAAAAAATTCAGGAAGGTGTATTTGATATAAACAATGAGGTTAGAATCAACATTGCAATAGTTAAACTGTAACTGTAACATTATATCTTTCTTGAATATTACCAATGAACAAATTCTTAATTTGTTTAGGCAAATGGTATTAAGATTGGACCACAACATTCACCAACAAGTCCTAGTGGATTATCAGGTACTGGTGGTCAAGGAAACGCGCAAGGTGGTGGGTGCTGCTAGGGGCTGGGGGTTGCCTGTCCACCGCTTCATCCCTCTCCAATTTAAATTGATCTTTTTAATCCTGCTCCTCATTTTATTTTCAACCAATTAATTTGTATATTTTTTTGCGCGTGTCGCATTATCAGGTAACAAGTGATTATGAGTGTAATTATTATTTAAAAAAAAAACGTATACACACATATTGAATAGGAATATTATACAGTAAAATGTTATATATTGCTTAAATTATAAATCTTAATAAAGTTTTAATTTATAGATTTTAGCTGATGTAAATTTATTATTTTTTAAATATTATTTGCTAC